CAGGCCTTTTTGCATGGACAGGAGGTTTTCCTCTCCATATAATGACCAGGGGAGAATTAATCAGATGGGGGTTTTATTACCAGTGACCCAAATGCACCCACAAAGCTCAGGCACCAGCTGGTACATACATTAACTCCAGGTTTACTTCATCTTGCAGTTCTTAAGACAGTGCCGTAGTGGACGTGCAGATTTACAAGGATCTCTTAGGTGCTAACACTCAAACACTGCTCTGAACCAGAACAAGGCTGAGGGCAAGTAACACCCAGGCAGTGCTCTTGGGTTTGGGCTTCAGTCTTTCTGCTTTGCCCATGCATGGCCTCAGCCCAGCACCCTTTCCCCAGGGTCCCAAGCTTTAAGCCAAGGTCCCAATTCCTTTCCAAGCTGGAGGGTGCAAACCCAGTGGAGGAAACCTGTGCCCAGGGCTGCAGACCCATGCACTAAGCTCTTCCCCCAGCAGTCATGGCTGGGGGTGCTGGGGTGCAGTGAGAGCAGGGGGGGTGTGCAGGAGATAACCACTGCTGTTGTCATTGCTGCCAGGACTTAACAGATTGTGAGATATGGCAGCTTGTTTGCACGGGTGTTAACCAGCCTCTCCTGTCCCCTTCTTGTCACTGCCCAGTCCCTGCCACTGCCAATCTGTGTCCTAATCTCCATCAATTAACAAGAAACACTTTCACCCCCCACTCCCAATACAGACACCCACCCTGCAGCCTGGGATAAAGAGGGAAGAGCCCCCCCAGCCTCGACCCTCTCCCCCTTTTACTTTCCACTAACTCAGCGCAACCAATTAGGCATCTGACACCCGTACTGGTGACAAATTGTTTCTGTCATCTGCTTTCTGTCTTTCATTAAAGGAGAGGCAGAGGGGGGGGATGAGGAGGCAGGGGGGCTGGGAGATGTGATCTCCCATGCTTAGCGAGGCCAGATACATTAATTACAAAACGGCCATTTGCAGCATGAAAATGCATTAATTAAATTTATGCAATCATTATCTTTAAATAGTCATATCTTGAAAAGAATCAGCCCTTCCTGAGCCTTCCCTCTCCTCCGCTAAGGAGCTCTAATCCCTTTTCTGCCAGTTATCTCTGGATCAGCAGTGACTTGTATGCTTTTAAACTTCTGCATGCAGGAGATGCCTTAAAAACTCTGCTTGAGTCCTACACGGGTGTGATGACACCTTCACATGGCATTGCAGTGAGGAGGACAGGCAAAGGGCACAGCAGCTCAGAGCATGTGCCATGTTCTGATCAAGGTATCTTCATAAAAGAGAGCTTGTGGCTCAGCCAGGAGTTGTGGGGTTAATGGCTAAAGTTCTCTGCTTGCATCTGTACAGCCATGTGCTGGTTTCCATTCCCACTTAGTAAATGTAGTGCTGTTTTCCTTGGGAATTGAATGAGGTAAGACCCTTCCCTTTGGCACAGACACAGCTTTGCCAGCAGACAGTTCCCTTTCATCAGTGTATCTTATTCCTCTTAAAACTCGCTTAGTTCAAGGCAGTAAATGATGTTCCTAAGAAAGCAAGGTTTTAAACCCATGCAATTTGTTATTCCCATGCTCGAAATCACTTCTTGGTGGCTTCATATGATATATCTAAAAAGTGTTTTACCTTCAGACGTAGCCAAAATCAAACTGTGCTGGACACGTAAGAAGGAAGCACCATTAATGGAGCTTCACTTTTGCACTTCACTGTTCAAACACTTCACCTGTTTGTGTTGTCTACTCAAATCATCATCACAAACCTTCTGAGGTTCCTCAGCACACCCCAGGTGCAGGAGTGCCAAAATACCCAGGGAAGAATTCATCTCATCCTGCTTAAGTAAGCACCTATAGCACCACAGGGAAACTCCACTCCAAATAGCTTTTAAAGAGCTGGAGAACTCAAAGAGGGATACTTATGGAAACTCAAATCCTTTAGGGCTTTCTTATCACTTTTGGTGGAAGATTTTGTGCTGCTCTTTATGTGTCTCCATCATTTTTAATAAATCCTGTGTGTTTTCCCCCATCTCTGATGTCTAATGGGCCAGTGTCCCATTAGGAAGGAGCTGATGCACTGGTATTTGGATCCCAACCTCACGCTGTGTTCAGTTAGGATCAGGAGTTTGGGATTAAGACAGGTAGAATTTGGGCATGGATTTAAGGGAACCAAATCCTGCCACAATTCTCACATCTGAGGGGCAGGAAGGAGCTCTGGGCTTTCAGGAATGGCAGTAGACAGGAGCTTGTCCTGCACAGGGAAGTCGCCTCGATAATCCAAGGGTCCCCAGCCTCCTCTGCAAGAAGTGCCTTGTGAAACTCTAAGTGATCTGTTTGAATCCAGCACAGCATGCACTTAGTGTAAAAGTGATCACAAATAATGACCAGGGGCTCATTTTCCCCTGGACCATCTCTGAGAATGGACATTGCTGGAGAGAAAGAAAAAGCCTTACTGTGGAGCAAAGCAGGGGCAGAGGCTGCTGAGCTAGAACATCTCAGCTGTAAGGGCAATGTGTCTTCAGCATGGATCCCCACTTCCTTCTCTTCTCTTTACTACTATTTGTTTACACAGATTCTGCACCTGGGTTATCCCTGAGTTCAGATCCTATGAGGGTTTAGGTTCATGTTTGGCCAAAGCAAGCAGCTCCCTGTCTTTGAAAATGCCACAGTGCTCCCTAGAAGCAGAGAGAAGTCTGAAGGAAGAGCACATGGTGCTTTGTAGGGCTGCAAAAGGCATTTCCTGGGATTCAGGAGCTGCGATTTTCCTGCGGGTGAGAGAAAAAGAGATCCTGACTTCACAATTCATCCCTGTGGTAGCCTAGGAAGATCCAAACTGAGCTGAAGCACTCCCAGGCAGGACCAGGGTCTGGGTGGTTCGTTCATTAGGGTGAGCTGGAAAGAGAAACCATCAGCTTAAAGAATGCTCCAAGGCCCCCCCAGCAGTGCAGGGAACTGCGGGAGCAGGGAAACAGGCAGCAGAGGAGCTGGCAATGGGAATTGCTTCTGCTTTTCCCTTTCTTCCATTCTTTTGCCAGCCCGAGTAATGAAGTGTTTGGTGCGAGCCCAGCCAGCCCTGCACTTGCTGAACTTATCAGGGTTATTTCATCTCCCCATGACCTCTCTGTATTCACCATGGGAACCCTGGAGGCATTGGCTTTGCTTAACTGGTGTATCTTACACTGCAGTTAAGCTGGACCTTAACTGATTACAGCCCGTGATTGATCAGAGAAAAGAGGGAGGGGAAGAGAAAGAGGAGTCCTAGAGCAGATCCAGGACTATCAGTGCACCAAGCAGCTTCGCCTGGGGCTGGGATATGCCACTCGGGGGACTCTTTGTAGTGCAGCTCCTTTCACATTTATAGAGGCTCCCCTCCACTCTCCAAAAAGAGAGAGACACAGAGGGAAAAGCAGGAGAAGGGGGGGCATGGAGCAGACTCAAAGGATCTCAGGAAATCTTGTTTGGAATCAGTAAGTCAGCACCCGCACTCCATTACCAGTGTCCGCGGGGGGTTGTGATAGTGAGCGAGCACAGAGCAGCTTAGCTGAGAAATGGGGAAAAAAGAGAGAAATAATCAAATGAGGGAGAGAAATGGAAAGGGAGGAGGGGAAGGAGAGGCCTCTCTGTGAATTTGGGATTGTCTTTGTTAGGCTCTGCCAGCGGGAGCCTGTTGGAGAGAGGAATAACACAAGTTTATCAACCAGTTTTAATTTGCTGGGGCTCGGTTTTGCTGCGTGGTCTCCCCACTCTGCCACTATCCACATCAGGCAGATGCACAGCAATAGATGTAGGGCTGATGGAGCATGGTTTTGTTTCTTGGTGTTTTGAATCTCTCGCCAAGCCCCAAAAGCTTTTTGTTCCCTGCCTGCCATCAGCCTGTCGGAGCTTACCCACGAATGGACAAGTAGGTGTAGAAGAAAAGACACAAGCCCAGGCCATTCCCAAAGCCAAACCTAACCTGAGTCCTCCTGCCAGTTTGGAAATGTTTCGGAATCCCAGTTTTCCATGCTTTTGCCTTTCTGCTTTCTTATCCCAGGTGACTTTGTGACTACCAAAATGCCACAAACAAGAGTCATATTCCTGCAATTAGGTGTAAAGTTGCCCAGAGAAGCTCTGTATCTCCACAAAGGGATTTTCCCCTGGAGACTTTCCTTTCCAGTGTATTCACTTGACCTTCACAGAGAACCATATTGACAGGGAAAACAGCATCAGGATGGAGTTTGCTTGTGGTGGCTTCTGTTAAGGCAGAGTACTGCCTAGACATAAAGAGGATAGGGTGGCTCAGTTTGCTGACCAGCACGTTTGGGAAGCATTGGCCTTCTTTTGGCTATTCTATACAAAATGTCTTAGCAATTCCAATTTGACCAGGAAAAAACACTTCAGGTTTGGTTAACACAAGAGGAGTAACAATATTGATGGTTAGTAAAGCACAAACAGTGTTTTCAGAGGGGAGATATTCAGCAGTGCATGAAAATCAGCCCCCTTGGACAGTTTGGATGGTGAGGTGCTAGTTAGTCTTTTGGCTCTGGTCTCCCATTCTGGCTCTTGATTTTGCTTGTTGGTGAAACTGATGCCTATAGAACTGGGCCCCCCTTTGCCTCTAGCAGCCCATACTAGTACAGCATGTCTTTCTGTTTCCTCTCTAGTTATCCAGACTGTTAAAACCTTTGCCATCTGCTTCTATCTAAGTGACAGTAGAGTTTGGTGCCCTAATACCAGGGATGGTAGCTCGTGTTTCTAGATCAAACAGCTTTTAATGTAATAATTCCCATTCCCAGTGGTGCCTCTGCCCTTCCCCTCCAAATTACACGTCTCCTGTAGGATTTCTCATAGCCCTTACTGGATGTGTAACCCCATGATGCTTCTGATTTCCTGCTGGTATTTCCACTGCAAGAAGAGCCCACTCCTCTTTCCCAGACCATCCAGACTTAAGCCGTTTCTCTTACCCTTATAGCTAAGACCTTCCCATTCTTTTGTATAGCTTAGAAACTTTTCTTTAGACCTTCTCTATAATTTGTACATCTCTACAGAAGCAGGGTGCCCAAAACAAGATGCAGTGCTCCAGGTGGAACCTCACCATAGCCTTGAACAATCAGGTAATAACTTCCCATCGCCTTTTTCGCTAATCCTCCCCTTGTGCAGCCTGCATTGGTCTGCTTCGCTGCAGCTCACCATCGCATCCCCAGCTCCATCTCATCCCCAGCACCTCCCCAAGCCCTCTCCATCATGAGTGTGTGGCACTTGCTCATCTATGAAGTGAACAGGATCATTGTAGGACACAAATACTCACCTCCATTTCACCCGCTGTGTCCTAGACCACTTCCCTGTGGTGCTGAAACATCCTTCAGGTGTTTGAAGTCACTGAAAGGCATTGATGATATTTCTGGGTTGATTGTTCACTGTCAAGCTGTTCAAGCACAGGCCCCCAGTAACTGTTTCTGACCACTTTGAAGGGATCTGATATGATCTGTCCCATACACACCTGAAGGGATTCAAGCACATGGTGTTCTGCTCCCAGCCGTGCTTCTGACACACGTTGGAAAGGCACTTCACTGGCACACACGTATTTTCCAAGGAAATGGGGAAGGTTAGGAAAATGAGACATTACTGCAGTGCAGCAGCAGCCACGTCAGCCCTGGAGTCCTTCCTCAGCAGGAGGGACTTGTGAGATTGTGTTAGCTCATACAGCTCATGGAGCTGTTGGAGCAAGTCCAGAGGAGGCCACGAGGATGCTCAGGGCTGGAGCACCTTCCGTATGGAGACAGGCTGAGAACATTGGGGCTGTTGAGCCTGGAGAAGAGAAGCTGCGTGGAGAGCTCAGAGCAGCTTCCAGGGTCTGAAGGGGCCTACAAGGATGCTGGAGAGGGACCTTCATCCGGGACTGGAGTGATAGGAGAAGGGGTGATGGGTTCAAACTGGATCAGGAGATTTAGATTGGAGATAAGGCAGAAGCTCTTCCCTGTGAGGGTGCTGAGGCGCTGGCACAGGGTGCCCAGAGAAGCTGTGGCTGCCCCATCCCTGGCAGTGTTCAAGGCCAGGTTGGACACAGGGGCTTGGAGCAACCTGCTCTAGTGGAAGGTGTCCCTGCCTGTGGCAGGGGTTGGGACTGGGTGAGCTTTAAGGTCCCTTCCAACCCAAACCATCCTGTGGTTTCTAACACGTTATGGGTGGATGGAATATAAATACCTGGCTGGATGAGGCAGTGGAACTCAGGTTTCTTAAACTCCAATCCACAACAAAATAGAAGTAGAGTTAAGTCACAGACTCATTTATACCAGTGTGAACTCAGACTGTGCTGGGAATCAGGGAAGTTACCCTTATGGAAGGCTAATGTGAAGTTTGCTCCCTGGGCCGCAAAATTTAGTTGGAAATGACATTAGATGGAAGGAACTGCTGTTACCTGGATCAGAAGTGTGCAAGAAGTGAGAAGCACTGTCGGGATCCTTGGCCTGATTGCAGGATCAGGTTGGATGGGTGTATATACTGCATTAGTTTGGCATATTGGGATACAACTCAGCTGGGTGGGATGATTTAGAACATACTCAAAATTAATTGCTTGGTTTTGGGAGTGCAGTGTTAGTGATTGCTACGTAAGTCACTTTAGTCCTACCTAGGGGCATATTTGCATATATTTATCCTCCTTTCAAGTGAAGATCTTTGGGGAAACTGTATTTATCTCCTCCTAACTCTCTTTGGCTTTCAGTAGTCCTGCAGTCACCTCTTCATTTTGTTTCCATTTAATGTATGTGCAGAATAATCAACTCTTCCTCTTCCCACCAAGTGAAAATGAATCCACAGAGATCAAAAAGCATTAACATGAGGAAGGGCTGCCTTCTGCGAGAGAGAAAGGAAAGATTAGCTGAACAGGCTGCTCAATAAAGATGGAAAAGATTAAGCTGTCCCCCCACCAAGTAGGTAAGAAAAGTCTTGGAGGCCAGAGCATGAAGTTGAATCAACCACGAATGGCAGAGACCTCATGGAGGAACTCAGAGGGAATCACTAACTTGGTCCATGCCGTTAGTAAATCCATAAGATCCAACGTGTTTCCCAGCATGGCCATCAGGCCCCTGGCAGACTTCCCATTCCCTAGGAAGCAGTGTAAATGTTAACACCACAGAAAGCCGAAACAAAGAGATTTCTGCCTACAAATGCTCTTCACACACAATTTCCTAGTGCTTTTTGCCTGATGCAGTATGAAATATTTCAACTGATCATATTTCCAGCCATTCCCAAAGCGAGAGGATCTCTCCCCATTCCTAGGAAAGCAGGACCACAGCCTCAGAAACACTCCTTGCTGCCAGGAGACCCTTCCTCTGGTTTTCTCTTTCCAGCTTCAGCCTGGTATCCAGTTTGCTTTATTTGGGGACCACCCAGCAGCTTTTCTGGAGTTAACACCCTTCAGCTACTGCAGATCATTGCAGCTTCCCTCGATTCAAGACTTAGCCAGGCTCAGCAGTTTCTAAATGCAGCATTTCTCCAAGGCAGCTTCTGATTTTGGACGCTTTGTGCTGTGTCAAATCGAGTGTCCACAAATGGAGACACCACAGAAGCAGGGGTCACTCTGGAAAATGCCATCCACAGGCTCCTGCCTCCCCATTGCTTTGTTTGCTGGAGTTTGATCTCCTTCTGACACCTCAGTGTCCTCCTGTAGCATCACTGAGCGTAGGAATGAAGCCTGCTGTGGCCAGGGCCTGATGTCTCTATCAGCGGGCTATTTTAGGAAGCCTCAAGCAAGCTGATGATATGGGCAGGAGGAGGTAGAGCATGGTCTGGGCTGCTCTGGTATCTCCCATAGAGCTCCTGACCACAAAGACCACCCTCCCTGTGCCCTCCCTGGTGCACTCACACCCTTCTCTAGCTCACTATAATCTCTCCCTATCACTTGTCTCCCCTTGAGTCCTTCCAAACACCCCCAACCACCCCCCCCCGACGGCCTGATTGCCCACATTGAAGGCCCTAATTGCGCTTCCCTTCCCAAAGCCACTTTGGTTTATCATAAAGGGTGCACATTTCCCCTGCTGCAGCTTCCATGGCCAGAGGCCCTGAGGCCAGCTCAGAAATGGAGGGAATTAATTACATTTTTTTAACTCCCCTTCTTTTAAAGTATGGGAGAGAGTGATGAAACGTCCCGGGGGGGAGCAGGGGGGGCTGCAGACATGAGGGTGAGGAGGGAGGCAGCAGCAGGAGGTGGGGGGTGGCTCTTTCATCCAGGAGGGTCTTTGTGCATTAACCTTGGTCTCCCCAACACGCTAGGACCTCTCCCCCATGACAAATGACCTCTGGAAAGGGTAGAAACAAGGCCAAAGGCTCCTCCAGCACTGTGGCTGTTATTGACTTACCCCAAAGTGCAAGCCCACGCCATGCCTGTGACTGATTTGCGACAGCAGCAAAGGGAAAGGAGATGGGGAAAGGGAGCGAGACAAGTGATGAGAAGGAGGGGAAAGGGAAGGCTGTCAATCACTGTGATGGACAGCAAGCAGATTTCCCTCCAGATAAAACCTTACAGATGTGAAGAGGTTATTGATTTTTAGTTAGTGATGATAATGCACCAAGAAGTAATAAATTATGAGAAAGCAAGGTCAAAAAGAAAAGGTAAAAGGACTTTGCATTCTTGAGGAAGGGATTTCTCCAGATGCCCCCAACTTTCCTAAGTTCACAGGTTGCCTGGAAAATGAGTTTATCCAGCTGAAACAAGAAGTCAGACACCAGGGGCCTGCTGAGGCTGGAGGGCTTGTGGAGGGTTATCCATGCTGGGTGGCTGCATAGTGAAGAGGGGATAGAAATTGCTTGTTATTCCTGAAACCTCCGTGTCCTGGGGTGGGGAAGATCAGATGTTGTTCTCTGATCAACCTGTGCAAACAGTGTCTCAGGGGAGCTCAGCCTCACATTGCCTGGAAAAGGCATTCCCATGGTCAGCATTGCTGGAGGGAATGGTGATTTTGGAACCCCACAGCCCCCCTCAGGATTCCTCTGCAGGACTCCTCCACCCTATTTCCATGGGAGCATCCAGCAGGGATGTTCTCTTGTAGTCACCTTCCAGCATCTCCCCTCTCCAGCCTCCACACAGTTACGTATCCATTCCCCACCCCGCATTGCTAAGATGAAAGATTGACATCCTTATGTTTCACCATGGATTTCCAGAGGGAAATTCAGCCTGTCTTGTCCAGAAAGGGGTCTTAGGATGAGTTCAATTGTCCTTCAAAGTGTCAGTCTCTCTGTAGAGGGATTCTAAAGGATTAGCACTGACCAGAAACATAACTTCCCAGGGCTAAGGTTAGTTGAGTCCTAGCTCAAGTGACTTGCACAAGCCCTTGTGAGTCAGTGGCAGAGCTGGGGTTAGAAATCAGTCCTGATTCTGACTGATTAAAGCCAATTAACTCTCTTTAGGAGGATTTGTGCAAGCGTCTTACCTGAATCTGCAGAGTGTGAATCTGGGTTTCATTTACCAACGTTGCTTTACATCCTCTGTTCTTTTTAGCAGGGCCTTAGCGGAAATGTTAATACAACTTCTGCTTGCTTTAAGAGCCTTTTCTTTTCCCTGGGTAATACAAAGCAGCTGACTCTTTTGGGGAGACAGCTGGGAGGGAGAGCACTAGAAACCCCTCTGCTCTGTGAGTGGTTCCAGTTGCCCTTCATTTGATAGAGCAAGGTTTCTTTCAGCACATCCGCAGTCAGGCAGCACTGCCAGACCTGGACAGCTCTGGAAGGGAGAGGAGGAACCTTTGCGCTTCCCAAGCTGGAGCTTTCCAACAGTAACTCCTCGTTTGTATGTCTGTGTTTTCAAGAAGGATGTTTATTGTTTTAAACATCTGATTCTGCTTGTGAATGAAATCCAGTAATGTCTCATGGCTGCTGGACGTGTGAGTGTCCTGGTTATCTATCAGGAAAAGCAGTGCAGGGTATAGCACCTACAGCTGAGGCGATGCTGAAGCTTTGAGGTCTGCAGCCAGTGGGATCGAGGGGCATTTGAGGGGATTCATGGTGGACCCAGATCAAAGTTCATGACCTGGCTTGAGTGGAAGGTTACAAATAGCTCTGCAGCTGGACCCCCCCGCTTCAGGCTGCACTCCCATGATTGCCCTGCTGCATAAGCCTTGGGGCAGAGAGGTTTGCGTTCCATCCCCCCAGAAAAGCATGGCAGCCCTGTTCTCATATTAATCCACTCGGTCTTGCATATTTAAATGCAATGTCCTTTCCTCACCCCTTTCAGTCTTTGGGCTGTCATGGGGCAGGACGGGTACACTTTGCACAGTGTTATGGCTAAACAACTTCATTAGATACCTCCAGGCTTAATCACTGTGATTAAGAAGCTGTGCCAGAGGGTCATGAGAGCCGGAGGTAACTTAGGCTCTAGCTGGAGCCTATCTGCCCTGCAGGGTAGAGGCAGCTAAGCCAGTTTTCACTTCTGGGGACCAGCAACAAACCCTAAGCTCAGTGCAGGCTGAAAACCCTGAAGGAGGAGAGGTTAAACGAACCCTCAGAGCTCTCTGCTGCTGCCACTGTGCTGCTGGTTCAAACTTGTTCCCTTGTCTCTGTACCACGTCACAGACAACCCCAGTGGTCAGTGTTAGATTGATTTTCCAGGCTTTTCAACTAACCCCATCCCCAGTCCCTCCCCACCGCCTCCCCCTCCACAGGAGTCCAGCCACCCCTGCTGCCAGATTCCCCTCCCAGACAAATGCCTGGGAAGGAGCTCAGGCTGGCCGAGTCGGGAGGTGGCATCACATCAAGGGAAAGCATCTTTGCAGGACTCCTGAGTCCTTCCGGGGGGAGGAGAAGCTTTAGAAAGCAAAGGCCAGCACGTAGCTGGTTATTCAGGCTAAGCCCCAGCTCCGGCAGGAAGGTGAGGGAGGAGGGAATGGGGAAGGTGTCGGGGTGAGCAGGAAGGGGAGACACTGCTCTATACAGCCCCGCTTGTGTCCTTCCAGAGAATGTATCCTGTGCACAATAGCTCACCAGGCCTCTGGTGGGGGATAAAGGGCTCATTTTACCACTTGCCAGGCTCCAAATATTTCCAATTTGCCACTTTAATTGATGTCAATAAGGTTATGCTCAATTCAGAGGGGTTCAGCCGCTCGGCATCTGAGCGCGGGCCCAGCCCCCCGAGGTGAGGGCCTGTCCCTGCTCCCCCCTTCCTTCCCCAGCACAACTCCAGCAAGATCAACCGAGAGGCACCAGGAATTCCCTTCCTTCCCTCGCCACGGCCCCGCTCCTGCAAACTCTTTCCACTTTTAACTTGGCAGCCCGGGGGTAATTTGGCTGATTGCAGAAGGCAATTGCATTAGAGCGCTGGCGGGATCAGGGTCCTTGTGTGAAGGCCAGTGGGCAGCAGCTTACCCCAAAGTCACCCGCAGGAACAAATCTGGCATTTTTTGTTGCAAAAGAAGAAAAAAGTTCATCTGTTTTCAGGTCTCAAAGCAGGAAGAGCTTTGTGTGCAAATGTAATTACATTTTCCAAGCAAGCACTCCACTGAAATGAGCCGAACCAGGACTTGTTCTCTTTTAATGTTGGAGGGTAAAGAGAACTTTGCCTTTTTAGTCCCTAAAGCTGAAGCCGCATCAAAGCCAGAAAGGTTTGCATCTGGTTTGGTTAGGGACCTTTGCAGGCCAAGCCCCACTCAGACTTCCAAAGAAAGGGGCTATCTTCAGTGTCCCTTTTGGAAAATAGGGAGTTTTGCTCCCTGTCTTCTGTGTCTCTGAGGGCAGTGCTGAGGAAGGGAGGGGATGCTTGTCCTCAGTTCATGGCAGTGTGTGCTAAACAGGTTTGTCCCAAGTTTCTTCCTGTCTCCAGTGTTCATTCTGAACAGCACTAACACTGTAACAGGACTAACACAGCAGCTAACATTGTCGGCAGGTTAGCAAAGAAAGACCAAAGAGTGAGTGTGCCTTGAAGGAACTTCTCAATTATCCCTGCTAAGGACTTTCATTACTCCTAAGGACTAAGCATTAGAGCCAACTCTGGGGTCTGTGTGTTGTTATTTGGTGGAAGCAGATCTTCATTCTCCAGCCTGGCCAAACCTCTCTTGATACTGTCTTTTATAATGATAGAGCACCATTGTACGTGCACTGTTGCTCCCTGGTATGCATGAAGGCAGCTGCATGCCCCCCTTTCTCCTCCAGACACTGACGTGTTGTGTCCTGTGTTTCTGCAGGTGATGAGCATCCTGAGCAACCCCAGTGGGGTTCCTCCACAACCCCAGGCTGACTTCTCCATCTCTCCCCTTCACGGTGGCTTGGACACCACCAACTCCATCTCTGCCAGCTGCAGCCAGAGGAGCGACTCCATCAAGTCCGTGGACAGCCTCCCGACTTCCCAGTCCTACTGTCCTCCCACCTACAGCACCACCAGTTACAGTGTGGACCCAGTGGCTGGCTACCAGTATGGACAGTACGGACAAAGTAAGTGCTCTGGTTGTATTCCCCCTGCACAGGGAACAGGAGAAGAGGTGGGGGGAATGTAAGAAGTATTGATGTTGTATTGGAAGGGATTTCTATAGAAATCACAGAATCATAGAATGGTTTGGGTTGGAAAGGACCTTAAAATCATCCAGTTCCAACCCCTTGCCATGGGCAGGGATGCCTCACACGAATCCATGTCACCACCTCACCACCCTCACGGTAAAGAACAGTAAAGAAATTGGTTCATCCAGAGAGAAAAAGGGCATCTACCTATCAGGCACAGGTAGAGATTGCTCCACAGAGCCTCCCCAGCACCCTCAAAGTCCGATTCAAAAGTCCCCACTCAAATATTTTAGGTACAACATTTCTATTAGGAAAAGACAACTTCCAGACCTGTCTCCTTCCATCTCCAATTCTTGCTTCTCCGAAAGCCCTACAACGTGTTCACCCTGCTCAGCCAGAGGAAAGCTGGGATTTTAATGCCATCCCTTAGTGTACGTGTCTCTTCCTCCCCTGCCCTCCATCAGGCAAGGGCTGGGCCCGTGCTCTGAGGTTTTGCTCCAAAACACATCAAGGCAATGCCTGTCAACTGGGCTGTGCTTCTGCAAAAGCTGAAGTGAGCCTGGAATTGTAATCCTGAACCTAAAGCTCAGCCCTGAAAGGCAGAGGGACGTGGGGAGGGTCTGTTTCTCCTCCCGAATGCTTGGGTCACACAAACACCAGCGAGCCTGGCAAAGGGCTCACCTGCTGGTGTTAAACTAATAATAAGTGTGGTGGTGTGAGAGAGTGATCCGCGGAGGGTTAAAGGTGCATCCTCTTCCTCCGGGAGCACTCCTGCTTTGCCCATAGCTTGTCCTCAGTGACCTTTCCTTCCATTTGGCTGTGGCTTTTTATTCCCCTCCCCGTCACAGCCCTTTAATGTCTTTAACTTCTCCAGCTAAATGAGAACCGGCTGTGGCGGCAGACGGGATCAATAGCTGCTTCCCCCCAGCCCCCCTCTTTTTGGGTTTCGGGAGTTTGATCTGTGACCCCTTGACCTTCCCCTCGCTTCTGGATGTGAGGCTGGACACACGTGCTATTGATAAAAATCTTAAACAAATTCCAATACCATGGATTTCCAATAAAGATTCCCTTGGGCAAGACGTTAGTCACACCCATGTGTGTAAAAAATAAAGTAAGGAGGACGAGCGACGTTTTCCTTCTCCAGCAAAGGAGGAGGAAAGAGAAAGAAGGGTTTGTCTTGCTTTGCTGCAGGAATTTTCACTTGGGCCTCTCCTTGTGCTGATGAACAACTGCTCAGCAGCACTATTTATGGTGTTATTTGCCCCCCTTTCCTGATTTCTGTCACTGCACTCCCTCCTTTCTGCTGGACACCCACTCTATTTGCCAGTCCAGTTCGGAGCCCCCTGGGCTCAGTTTGGAACAGGAATGTTTTCCTCTTAATAGTCAGGAGAGCCTAGCAGCAAGTCTTGTGTGGTTGACAGTGTTAGTCCAGCCGTGTCCCGTGCTTAGGGACATGCAGGTCACTAGTCATGAAGGAGTTCTTCCTGCCGGGGCAAGGAAGGTAGGTGAGAAACCATCACACACCATCCATGGTGCCACTGCTTCCCAGTGCCAGGAGCCGGGGTCCCTCTCAGCACAGTGGCATTGCAGGTGCAGCACAAACCAGCAGTGGCTTTTCTAACTACATTAAGCTACAAATCCCACATGTGAGCACATCTGCATACAGGTATTTGCATTTACAGCTCTGCAGGGGCAATACGTAAGTCTGCTTCGCTATAACCCTTGCTTATAATGAGCCCTATTTATAATAATCTCTGTGTGAGGAAACAGTTTTCATTGGTAATGAGTCCTGTCAGAGCAATCACTTACATGAAGATGACCTTGATATTACAACAGTTTTTCTTGTCTTGGTGCATGTTGTGTTCAGCAGATACTTCAATTCCTCCTGCTTTTTAATTCTTCTCTGCTGCTTTTCAAATGCTGTTTCAATGCTGATCCATGGGAGGTGACCTCCACAAGACCAGTTATTGGTGTTCAGTTCAAATCATGTGGTTATTCCTTTTCTGATGCAGCAAAAAAGTATGAAAACTCTTTTTAATGAACACTGATATAATTAAAATGGGGGGTATTATAGCGGGGGGGCAGGCTCTGTATGACGGGGGACGTAACCAGGGCTGGCAAATAAGAGCTCTGTAGCTTTGACAGGCTTTGGAACTGACCTGCGGGGAGTCTCTCCCCCCAGTTCTTGCCTTATTCTCTGTTTTAGAAACCCAAACCCAGCCACACTTTATCACATAAGCAAATAAACACGCAGAGTACTTCTGGTGAGTTTCTGGTTTTATTTTGGCTTCCACTCTGTTAAACCAACAAACTGTATTTTGACTTCTGGCAGGGGATACCCTGGTGCCTTTGAACTCTTCCCACAAGAAGCAATACTGGGAGGTTAGCAGGCTTTTTATAGAAGGGTGGGATTGCCATCGAATTCCCATTTTTCCCAGAGCTCTGGCTGTTCACCTCTCTTCCTTCCCAAGCACCCATCTGAATTCACCTAGAACACGGGTGACAACAGCAACAGAGGCCCAACCCCACACACAGTGTGTCTGAGGAGTGAATTTCCTCTTTACCCACATCCTCTCAAAGACATATTTAATGTGCTTACCTGACACATCAGGGGACCAAGGTGTGGATGAGAGCCCTGGCTTGGGGTCTGATCCCATGTCCACCCCCCCTTGAAGCTGGAGGCACCATAACACAACATTACGGAGCCCAACACCCGAGTTGAGCTACCCCAGGACCCCGCTCCCGGAGAAGAAGGAGCTCCACTTGCCCCACTGAGCTCCTTCCAGACCCTGCTGCCTGCAGAAGCTGCCCAGCACACCTCCCTTCAGCCCCGCAGCACTCACCCCGAGCCGAGCCTGCGCTGTCCCAGCCGGTGAGGAGCAGGGATGCCAGATTAATGTGGTCCCCACAGTTCCCAAAGGCCGGAGCTGTGTTAATGATGCCGGTGATGGAACGCAGAAGCGTGAAAGGAATTCTAATAGATATGACAAGTCTAATAAGAATTTGTGTCTGGAAGGGACCTCCTCTGGGGCAGGCGTCTGACAAGACGTTGATGGCTGAAATTTGTTTACTCATTGGCACCGATTGTACATCTCCTGCCAGCTCCTTATTAATCTAATTTGAGACATTAAAGCTAGTGAAAGGGAAAGACTTTGAGTGAAGCTCAGCTAATGAGCAATGTCACCATCCTGCCCTGGTCCTCTTCCCCCTCAGACCATGGGGCAGTCAGGCGAGCTGGGATGCAGGTTAAGCATCACCTCAGGAGTTATGGCTGCTGTTTCTCACCCAGATGGAGATAAGCAAAGTGCTGTCCCTTCGGAAGGGTGGATGGAGGCAGGCAGCAGAGCTTGCAGAGATGAGTCAGCACACAGCAGTGAGTCACATTCAAGCCCTGTCCAGCCTTGCTGAGCTTCCACTGGAGTCTCTGGAATTGTTTACACTGAGTGCAGGAGTTGGCTTTGCCACCATGCGTTGATACAGGGAGGGGAGGCTGGAAGGCTTATCCCCTGGCTTTCTGCTCAGGCTCATCTTCAGGCAGCTCCCTTGGAAACACCATTTTCCTTGGCAGAAGTAGAGTTTTAGCTCTTTTCATGGAGAGATTCGAGGTGCTGCAGCAGTACACACACAGGGCAGTCTGCACACCACAGCTACACTTCACCCGAGCAGCAGCTGTCCCATCAGGTATTTCTGTCAGGTCCATCACCCATTTGCAGGTGATGGACCTGCAAATGTCTGTGACAGCTCAACTGCATTGAGCCTCTTTGTATGAGTCTGTTTGCAAGGTCTGTTGGTTACACACCCTTTGATGCTGAAAGCCTCCCTTGCACTGCATACTAACGTTGTGCTGTTTTCTCCCCCTCCTCTTTTCTCCCCTCCTCTTCAGCTGCTGTTGATTACTTGGCCAAGAACGTGAGTCTGTCCACACAGCGCAGGATGAAGCTGGGAGAACATTCAGCCGTTCTGGGCCTCCTACCAGTAGAGACAGGCCAAGCTTACTGAAGAGTCCGACTGTGCCAACAACACACTCCAGCAACTTGGTAGCACTGGAGAAACACCACCAGCCTTCCAGGGATCTACCTGTACCCAGACCCTGCTCCTTCCCAATTCCCTTCCACCTTGCACCAACTTGAGCTGTGAAGGAGACGGGAAAGAGGGGAAAGGCTCTCCAGCTCCTCCTCATTCCAGAGGCAAGCCTGGCCTCTGTGACCTGGCTCCTCCTGTGGCCAGAGACAATGGGTTGGGTACATTTATTAACCCCAAGTTCATGCCCTCCCTCTAACCTACCTGGCCATGGCATTTTGCCCACGCTTAAGGACTTTTCCATTGATCTAGGTAGTTGGCATAGTCAAAGCCAAAATGATCTTTTTTTTCTTTGTAAAAATGAAATGTTTCCTTTTGTTTCCTTTTCTTTCCATTGCTGTAAATTTGGTGAATGTTGTATAGGAAAGAATAACCAAGCTGATCATTAAGGGTGATGTAATTCGGGACCACAGAAGACCTATGGACCAAATATAAGAACTTTGTTTAAAAACAAAACAAAGCACCACAAAGACAAATGAAAACCATAAAACATATGTTAAAGTGACAGCAGATTCTGCCCCCCTCCAACTCTACCCTTCTGTTCTCACTGATGGCTTCCCAAAGCAGGGCTGAAGAAGGCCAGATTGCTGCTGTGCAGGGGCAGGGTGTAAGTCCGTCCAGTCTGGGACCTTTGGAAAGTGTAAATGTAAATTGCTGCATGAGGACTGGAGATTGTGGGCACAGGCACGAGCAACATTTACTTTTCCTCTTAGGGACCAATTTGTGACTATCACTGAAAAGACACAGGCATCAGATAGCAGCCGGGGATGCGATAGCAGACTCTGGCCTTGCACACGCAGAGGAAGGGCATCAGATACCCCCAGTCGCATTGGAGCTTCTGCCCGTCCAGTTGAGAAGGGTGAGAACTGTCAGTGGCCCTTCCTTCACCCAGCAGGAGAGAAGCTGGCCATGAGAACAAAGACAAGAGGGAGGAGTCAGAGGTGTTTGTTAGCTGCCTGCTTGGAGGGCTCAGTACACAGAGCCAGGTTCTTCTACAAGTAAAGGGCCACACGAAAGAAAATGGGGCTTGTTCTGGAGGTGCTTTCCCACAGCTGCCTCTCACGGAGGGATGGAGTCAGAGGGGAGATGTCCGAAGAGTCTTTCTAACAGCAGCCAGGAGGGGCAGGTGCTCTCAGCTGCAGTGTTGCCCTTACCTGTACTGCAGGGAAGGATTTACTGTACCAACAGCAGGAGAAGTGTCTGCCCCTGTCCATCCTCCCAGCTCTTCCCCCACCCCTCTCATTCCATACTATTCCATACCTCTCAGTCACTCCCTTCCTTCTGCTTTTCACTTTGGTGGTGGAGCATTTCTCTCTCTCTAAGCCAGATCTTGTTCTCTGGGTTTCTCACCCCACTGTCCTGTAGCAGCCGGTGCTCTCCCTTTTGTATCGCCTCACAAGTCTGCTCATCACAGTGCTCAGACAAAAGCAGCCAGCAATAAGAGGTTATTGCTAAGGCATGACCCACAGGGGTTTTGAAATAGTTTCCCTTTTGCATGTGGTGATGATCCTTGATGATTCTTGAGCAGATGCCTGATAGAGACCTTTCTCCCCTCACCTTCCCATGTTGAGAGACTTCAAGAACGTGCTAAAATGTGACCTGGAGAAGGCAAGGAAAGCTGCCCCTGGTGTAACAGCCTGATGCACAGTCTGTGTCAGCCAGAAGCTGATGTGTGGAGTCCAATGCAACAGGCAGTGCTTAAAGTCATCTACAGACTCTTAAGGGTTTATAATACACTTGCTTTATATGTCTGCTTTAGGGTAATGAACGTCTGCTTTTGTCCACTGGTGATAACGGGGGACCATGTGTTCTGGTTAGCATATGCTCCTAGGTTGTTGAAAGAGACACTTCCCTTGTGCTCTCTTCCGTTGCTGCTGCTGCTTCTGTTCTTCTCGTATAATCTCCTCTTGTTCTTGCAGCTGAAACAGCATTTTTCTGGGGAACTATCCCCTGCCTTGCCCCAACACCATTTACCATGAGCCACCAAGCCACTTTCTCTTGAGCCATATGGGCAAGTACCTGTTCTGACCAAAGCAGAGGTTTGCTGCTTACGTAGCTCAGCATCCTTTCAGGGCCACATCTGGCTTCCATCAGCTGTGCTTTATGGCTGTGACAGAGCCTGCTCGACATTCCTAAAGCATATTAATACACCAGCTTGGCCTCTCACATGCATGTTTCTGTGCAGGAGCTCTGTGCAGGGCAACATGGGCATCCAGAGGCTGGTTTCCATCATTTATGCTCCAGAGATCCCAATTCAGCCTTTGCTTGCCCAGCTGTATCACACGTACAGCTTCCCTCTTAGTGGTGAAAGACTTTCCTTGGATCATGAAGCTTTTGGAGCACTTGAAGCTTGGATTCTTCACATCCTTTCTCAGGGCAATATGTAGCACCTACAGCTGGGTGAATAGGTGAGGCCAAAGGTACTGATTTCCTTGAGGTGGCTGAAGAGGCAAAATGCCTCAGACTGGTCACATTCCCTGAAGCACTCTCACTGCTTTGTGCCAGTTTGAGATCTCAGCAAGCAAGAGCTGATCTAAGGAATTTGGAATTCCAGTACTGGCTTAAATGTCATTCCCCAAACCAGTAACCTTCAGCCACACTGAACTGGGGGATTGAGGGTGAGACTAAGGATTAGTGACTGAAGTACCTGTTTGAATTTACTCCTGTCTCAGTTTCATTCTGCAGTGCACAATTTTCTTGTGTGCCACATTTAATAGTGTATTTAAGAGGCCAAATGCCCATAATCACCCCATCTGGGAGCACCTTCAGGTCTACATCCCCCTTAACCACTGGAAGATGGAGGTTGTAGTTGGTGAGCGTTGACCCTGTATCTACCCCAGACAGTTGCAATCTCTTCTTCTTTATCCTGACACTCCTGACCAAATGCATTCCTCGCTGCCTGCTAAACTAGAAGGAAAGCTCAGTTTGTCATGAGAACTGCTTGTCCACTGCTCCTGCGCTCTTCTCCCTGCTGGTATCTCATCCATCCTCCTCTGCGTGCACACACATCTCCCAAGCATCCCTCAACAGCGGATACCTGGTCCTCACCACAAGCATGTTGTCGAGGAGAACTTGAGCTGAGCTCAGCGCCGAGTGCAGGCCCCCAAAAGTGAAAAAGCATTAAAAAGAGGGAGCTCTGTAAAACCTATTTGCCAGTTACCTTCACCAGGAAGTCCATGACCACCCGGGCCCTGCTGTAAATAGAGTTCTTAGAGGACTATGGAAACTGCCCCGTGCTGTAGCGCAAATAGCTGTTCTCTGACCTTGCCCTCGTGGTCGCACTTTGTACATTAGTTGGAACTTTGGTCATGTGCTGTATGTTTATAGGAAGTTGACATTTTTTATACTAAACCCCACAGTGAGTGCCGTGCTAGTTATAAAAACAAAAAGAGATAAAAAAATAAGGGGGAGGGAGGGGAGGACCTGTAGAAATTCGCCTATGGTGTGTTTTCAAAATACATTCCAGAGTCTTCGGGGTGGGATGGGTTTGATTTGGGGATTCTTTGGTTTTGGTTGTTCCTTTGTTTTGTTTTAAAGTACGTTCATGTATGAAAGTCAAAGTATTTTTTTGGTCGGGTTTGGTTTGGTTTATGGATTGCCAACCTCGGTTCTGCTGACGAGAGACAAACTCAGGGGGTAGGGTGGGATGGGGAGAGGGAGGACAGAACAGAGGGAGGTGCCTTGAAGGCGAAACAAAACCGTGCATGGAAGAGTAGCAGTCGGCAGTGGACAAGTGTTGGACAGCAGGACCCTGAAGAACATGTGGATGCAAAGCAGACCAAATGGGGACTGAGCAGATACTCAAGTACTGGTGACTCTGAGGGTGCCTGGGAACCCCACAATCCTTCTGCACCTCATCCAAACAAACCACCAAGGGAAGGGACATGCTCCAGAGACGTTCTCTCAGGCTGACGTTTCTTCCATACCTGCAGATGAGAACTGGCATCCTTGGGGGAAAGGCAAAACGCCGAGTGGGTTCCTTTTACCTCCCTGTGCCCCTGCCCTCACCTCTCAGCACCATCCCAAGGCCACCCAACGGACATCTCCTCACTGTGTCCAGTAACTCAGCAGATTGGCTCCTGTCGCTCAGAGACTTTGTGTATTTAATGCTTCTAACACCTCCATATACCCACCTGGGGAGTATCTACATAGCACTATAGGACATTCCTTATTCCTAGTAACTGCGGATATGTTGCTTCTGTGTTTGACTCATAGCCATTTTGCTCCATGTGTGTGCCTGTGTGTGAGCCTGTGCGTGTGTGCCTGCGTGCGTGCGTGTGTATATATATAATCGCACCATAATTTATTCAGCTATATGGAGTAGTCTTAGTAGGAAGAGAAACTGGTTTTGCTTTAACTACCTGCTGCCTGTAGGTGTCTCTCTGTAACTCAGGCATAACTGTTATACATTAAAAGAGAAGAAAAAAAAAAGGATTAAAAGTGCCTTTGGGTGCTTTGCTTGCTTGAACTCACTGTGCAGCGTGCCAAGAGCACGGGGGGAAGCCGGGAAATCCAAACTGTTCACACGCACATACAAACAACAGATGGTTTTGCTCAAGAAGCAAATTCGTGCGCTCCAATCCCCGCCGAAAACGTGGAAAAGCCACATAAATAAACCCAACATTTAATTTCCCTGTGACTTTTCACAAGGGGAGAACAATCTCCTGGCCTGTTCCAAACACAACTGGTTCTTTATGCACGGGCCGGGCTGGTACCGCGCGGTAACTCCAGCTCTGCAGGCACCTGGCTTTCGTTACACGCCGGAGTGCGGCAAACTGGTTTGAAACTCCACAGAGGAATACATGGCTCCGGGCTCCAGCGATGGGGAATAAAGCATTCTGCCTGGAAACAAAGCCCTGAATTCAAAAGCTGAGGTTCCCATCTGAAGACATTTTGGCTCTCTGTAAAATAAGTTGATCTTCAGCCAAGTCGTGCTGGATGAATATCCGCATGCACAAACTAATCAGATCCTGGGGTTTCGTTTTCTGGTTGCCTCTGAGCAGAGGGACCAGTTCATGGGAGCTAACTGGCTTCCCAAACCCAGCTGAGATCACCCTTAGATAAAACACACGATGAGATGCTGTCCCGGTGCTGCAGAAGAGGCAGC